GCCAGAGCCCGAGGCTTGGAGCGGGACCGAACACACGGGCTGCGCTCGGTGCGGGCCGGCCGCGGTGCTGCTGCGCCGAGACTCCGACCCCCGTTACCGGCTGAGCACGGGTCACGTTAAATACACGTTAAAGACGGGTCCGCACCCGCTCCACGGTGCGGCTGGGCCCGGCTCCTGTTTAACACCGACAGTGAGAGGAGATGAGCTCAACCCAGCCCTTGCTATGGGTGAGACACTGCACACTCACCCGAGACACAGGACGAGTGACCCACTGTGTATAAGAAAGGGAGCGTAATTCGTTGTCTTCACCTCTACACCCTCCCCTTGCCAGCTGTGGCTGCAGTAACGCCGCACAAGGCAGCCTAACATGCCACCCCATTTCTTCTTTACTTGCTCGTGGGTATTGAACAGGTATGACAATATGCTGTTGCTCCATTTAGGGGCTTTACTCATCTTTCTGCTGCCTGCTCTGCGAAAAACTGAGTTCCACAGCAGTAGCTTTTTACTTGCAGAAATGCCATTTGGTCATTCATTCACTTTGCTACTGGAGAAGAGAAAGTAACAGCTTAACATAAACACATGGGTCAACTTGCAGCAAGTCAAGGTACCATTTAAACAAACCGAACAAATAAAACCCCCAAACCACAACAAGAATACAGTACTTTAATCATCCAAACGTTTACTGGTTTACAATCTGACAGCATATAGTGCTAATATGCTAAAACACTCAATTCACGTTTCCTCAATGGAAATTTAAATTGAACGCTTGCTCGTTTGTAGCTTACAAACAGTATTATTCAAGCTGTAGAGAGAATGAGGCTATTTCTTTAAAACACAACAGTAAATAGATAATTGCTTTGGAATATAGGGTATGTTTCCATGCTTAGCTTGGAACCAACAGAATCAATATATATGGTCATTTGGCTTCTGCATTAAGCCTGAAATATAATCAGGAAGGAAAAAAAAAAAGTATCACCTCTTTCAGAAAAACAGATTTTGTAGTTATGGTAGCTGGTAACCAAAGTAACACCCTTTTGCCCTCAAAAATAATGAAGTCAAACTCAAGATCTCAGTACATGTGATAGCATTACAGTTGTGACATCTCATCATATTATCACAGAATGGTTTGGGTTCAAAGGGACTTTAAAGCTCATCCAGTTCCAACCCTCTGCCATGGGCAGGGACACCTCCCACTAGACCAGGTTGCATATTCGCTTTGCTTGTTGAGACTGTTTATGATTCCTAGCTACAGACTGAATTCCTTCATTTATTCCAACAAGGATACGCACTGTAGGCACTGAAGTGATGGTTGTAAGTGTTCCATGCACCATGCCACGTGTCTTGTACCAATTTGGAGGGCCAAACCCTTCTGGTTGAAAATAAACCAAACTAGTTTTCTATGCCTGGCCTGTCAGATACCTGTCCTGAAAGTGACAATAAGCAGTCAAATACTCAGCTGCTGCCTACAGAGCTAAATCCATTATTAAAGTCTGCTACTATCATCTGTGACAGAGCACTTGAGTTGCAGCTTAAAAGCCCTTGCTTTTGATTGGAATATAAATCATAAAGCAGATATCTTGATTTAATAAAGGAAGAGATTTAGGCTATCATTTTCATAATCCAGCCTTTCATTTTCTCCATCTTCATGTAGGAGATGACTGCCTAATTTTTTTGATAATAAATCATCGTAGAATCACAATATATGAACAGATTCCATGAACATGCAGCCCTTCAACAAATGAAGGAAGATACTACAGCCTGTTTTTTGACACAAAAGGATTATGGTGCCTAGCACATCAGTAGCACAGATTTAGGCAACTCGGCACATGACATGCTTTGGCCATGTTTATACAGCACTGCCTGTAAAAAGACACTTAACTTGTGACATTTTGTGTACTGTACAAGAACTTGCATTTCAAAATCTAAAAAGCTCTTGAAAATTTACAAAGCCAAAACCAATAGAAGCCCTTTTAGTTACTAGTCAAATAGTTTCTAACTGTTTCAAAGTCATACTATGTCTTTGGTTCTAACAGAATTAATAGCGACTTGATTTGCAGAGCACACATTTATTTATAACAAAAGGCTGATTTTGAAATAGCAAAACTGTTCTTCCACAAGTATAAACCAGTTATATACATCCTCACTGAAGGCACTATAGTTTAAAATTCTCTGTACAGTTGCAGTAAAATTCAAAGTCATCTCCGGAATTAAAGCCTGTCTTTAAAGATCCAAAATGCGATTTGCAGCAAATGACAACATGGGCACAGTGTCAGAGAGTTGCTCTGTTAAATTTTGATAGTATATACAGCCTAATGCGAAAATCTCAGTCCCATGTGTTTTCTATACGTTAAATGCTCACCATGTTATGGTCCTTTGATGAAAACAGTAGTCAGTTGAATTTGCTGTTGCTAGAAAGATGGCTGAGCAGTTCTAAAGAATTTTTTTTGTGATCTCATGACAATAGTGAGCAAACAAGTATAGTACAAACTGACCTGCACCAAAAAGCCTCTAGGTTTTCGTATTATATCAAAGAAGTCTACTGGGATTATGTACAGAAGTTGAAGTGATTCTTGTTGCCTTATTAGTTTGCTTAGATACAGAACTTTAAATACTTCAGTAATTACTACATCATACTGAGTTGACACTGCATATTGGTTAATTTCTGCATGTCTTACGTAGTGTTTCAGCATCAAGACATAAGTAGAATAGAAAAATCCTTTCTTAAAAGTGTTCCTTCACTGCTTTATTTAAAAAAATGACAGATTTATATGAAGTACTAATAGCTTAATGCAACAGCTTGAAAAAAAGGATTTTTCCATTTGCCTGTGAATTAGAGCAGTGCTTTTACAGTCAGATTTTCCTGTACAGAATTATGCAGAATTTAAAAAAATGCATGTCCACCACTTCTAGAGACATTGATACTTATGAATGTAACAAGGAATATAAACTAAATGCTGATGAACCCATGAAATCAGTCTAAAACCATATGCAGTTCAGACACAGAGCAAGATACAGTTGTGGGATGTCTTGAAAAAGACTTTACAGGTTTAGGTGTAGTAGAAAAACTGTAATTTTGCAAGGCACCTTTTTTTTTTTTATTTCAAGGCTTCCAATTTTTTATTAGTCCCTCAAATCTCTTGGAAAAGTCCTTCACCAATTTATTTTTGTTAGGTTTAAAGGGATGTCTTTAATTAGTCACAGTATCAAGAACTAATAAAAAGTAGAATTACAATTGAGATAACTGTGAAAAATTTCTCTTCAGTGCATGAACAAGGCTGAAGAGCTCTACACAATGAGACTGTTGTGTGAAGAATCCCTTATCACTAATGCATTGTTTCCAAGAATATACACACCCCTCCATGTAAATTAGCACCCCCAGATTTTCTAACAAACATTTCAATTGGGTCATTATCTGACTAGTGATTTTGAATGTGCCATTCTTTGACTACAAACAATTATAACATTGATTTGCAATTACATTTTTAGTAGAAAGCACTGCCAAAGTCTTGAAATACAAAAAAAGTCTTAAAAAAACCCAATCAAAAACTGTGGTACAGAAACTGGTGCAGTTGCTGTGTCTCAATCTGAAAAACGTGAAGCATACCAGCAGATTATTCACACAGCTTTGCTTTAAAAGGAATGGGGTTTCCAGTCTTTTCCCTTCTAACCCAGGTAAATGTAGTCCAACATTGCCAAAGCCCACAGTGATGACCGTGTGTGGACGACCCTTGAAATCTCCATACAGTTCTGACAAGAAGATCTGCTAGATGTCTCCTTCAACCCTCCTCTTGCGAACTGTAACAGGAGAGAAAAAGGGGTTTAGTGTTTATCATTTTAACTACTCTTCATTATTTCTACAACATGAAGTTGCTACATAAAGTTGGTAATTAGCAGAGTATTATCCATCATTTTAAGCTTATGCTTTAGCAGTGCTTATTGCCTTATGCAGGAACAGCTTCAAATACTTGTGAGGAGAGACTTGTGGGAAACAATGATTTTGCTTGGTAAGCAGATTTAGCCACTACTCTTTTTATACATTGCAGCTTTCTTACTGAAATGTACATGGCTTCAAAAGAAACAGTACAAGAGTTTCACAGTGCATCTAATATGATTTATACACGTCACCAAAAAAATGTTACATTCAATAGCCTAAAACATTCAGTTTGTTAATAAAAATATTCAATTGTCAAAAAATGCAAGTGACATTTATGAATAAAATCACTAAAAGCTCACATGCTGTTTAGACTTAAGAATATGCAAGACTGACTGAATGACTGGAGTTTTGCTTATTGTTTGTAGTGGTTTTAATTGATATTTTCTTTCTTCCCCCTATCAAATTGTGTTTTCCCTATCTGTGCAGACATAAGGCTAACTGTCTTCAAAATTACACAGGGCATTTCAATTAATATCCATTAGCAAGCACATCTATACACAAAGTGACTCTGTTCTCAAATCCACTCATTGGAAATCATGCAGTTTTATAGGTATTTGCAATCTGAATTGATCTTCACCTTCAGATCAAAATAACAGAGGCAAAACTGTTTTGTTTAGCCTCTCTCTTCCTGTCTCAAGAAATGCTTTAAATACAGTTTAAAGAAACAATCAGAATAAAATCTCACTAGGATTTTACTATTTACAAATCAAAGGTAGTGCTTACTTTAAGAATAACCCATAGACTTATCACAGAATCATAGAATGGTTTGGATGGGACCATAAAGCTCATCTGGTTCCAATCCCAGGCCATGTGCAGGGACACCTTCCACTAGACAAGGTTGCTCCAAGCCCCTGTGTCCAACCTGGCCTTGAACACTGCCAGGGATGGGGCAGCCCCAGCTTCTCTGGGGAACCTGTGGCAGCGCCTCAGCACCCTCACAGGGAAGAATTTTTTCCTAGTACCTTATCCAAATCTGTCCTCTGTTTGTTTAAAGCCATTACCTCCATTTGAATCCAAATCATTTTCAGTGACAGCAGTTATGTACAACTGCTTCCATCAAGTCACAGAACAGATGGAAGTTTTCAACCTTAGACTTCTCCAATCATGCAGTTCAAAGCAACACATACACAGTTTCAGACAAAGGAAAGGGAAGTACTACACAGCGTAAGCAAAGGAGAAAGATGATGTAGACTGTTTTTTAGAAGAAACGTACAAAGACAGAAATGAGATACTTTGAACATCCCAGTTTTCAGTGCTCAGTACCCAACTGGGTATTCAGCGTAAGCTGTCTCTGTAGCTTCAGGGCTGGAGAGATGAAAGGGTATTTGCAGAAACTTTTACTCGCATACTCCAGACTAAGAAAGCAAAGAAAAAAGGCAAGATATCAATAGAAACATAGATTTCCAACCGTCAAACACCAAAATGAGAAGTAGTGAAAAAAGAAACCTTACAAGAAAGCAGAGCATTAGGACAAAAAGATAAGAATAACTGGTTTAAAATCTAGAGAAAGAATTACGCAGTGTCCGAGTGTCTTCTCTATGCACTATTCTTTACTCCTCCACCATCTCTTTCAGAGCTGTTCTCCTCCACTTTAAACTTTAGTCAGAGTGGAAGAGCTCTTTAAACCAAATTCTAATTTCCTGTCATTCTCTCTAATGTGTCCCTGAACTACTAGTCCTACTAAACTGGCCCATTTTAGCGGCCCATTTTCACGCTCAGATGTGTAATCCTTACCAAAAAGCATCTAAAGCCAAAAGGTTTAATTAAATGGAGTTTTAAAATGTAGTTCTATTGAAATAGATGGACTACGTTATCTTCTTGTAATTGAGAGCTTCAAGTATTTGACATTATTACACAAATGATTTCCATTCATGTGCTATTTTACTAACCAATTCTCTGCTGGTCCACTTAGTTAGGATTCTAACAGATAAACTCCAACAAAACTTACTGCAGCAAATAAAGATGCCACTGCTGCAAGCTACCTTTCAGAGAGGCAGGGAAGGTACCTGTGCATGAAGAGAACCATGAGGGAAGACATACCCAGCCCAAGCTTCTGCACATGACAGTACGTGCAGTTTCCTTGCTCAAGCAATCCAACTGAGACAGGGTGTGCTGGCATTAATGGCAGCATCCTGCACTATTAATTTCACTCTCAAAGAAGTGATGAATCTTATCTCAAGAAAACTCATCAAAAATATTATTTTCCCTCTCTTTGCCACAACTCCTGTAGAATTTGAATGTTCTTGTTCTAGACTGTGCTAAAAATACACAGTTCATTCACCTGAACACCCTGCAACAACATAAAAGAATATCAAGCAGCAATAGAAGAGTAGGAATAAAGCACAGGATAAATCTGAAGCTGACGTACTTCGTATTTTGCTATCCTGGTAATGTCAACAGAAGAGCAGAAAAAAAACCAGACACCTGCACCACACACACATTCATTTAATAGTCATTCTCTGCTGACAGGACTTACCCAAATCATTATTTTTTGTGATAGCTGCAGCTGCCCTGGCTCGAGGTCCCTGTTGTGTGAAATGGTATCCAAATTTGAGGATCTTGGTGTTTTCTTCGAGCATCTTGGCAATTTCTACTTCTGCAATTGTGCCCAGCTGCTGCCTCTGTTAAAATAAAAGATACACAAAGACAAGAGAGCTTATGTGCATTCAGCCTAAAAGAGATCAGAATACTTTCATTACATCAGTCAACAAACACAGATCCATTTTGATTAATCTAAAAGGCAGCAGGTCACAAAATATATTTGTGTGCTTTAAAGCACAAGCAAGCACAGAAGTGACCAAGAATCAACTTCAATGGGATGCTTCTGAGAATCTTACAGATGATAATTCATGGGGTTAAGGTATTTAAAAGCGAAGTATTATGGAAAGTTTATCACAAGCTGCCTTCTAAAAATACTCAGTCAACTAGGAGAGACTGTTTCTGACTACGATATTACCCCCACCTCACTTACCTGATTGTCAATTTTGATCTCTGTCAATGTTTCGTTGTCTTTCAGTGCATCGACCAGTGCCAGAATTCCAACTCCAGTGATGAAGTTTGATTCTATGTTTAAACTTTTTAATTTTCTGTTTACTCTCAGCATATCTGCAAGAGCCTTTGAACGCAAGAAAGCATCATTAAACTTTCAGATTTTGCTACGGTACATCATAGCACACAGTGATGACCTTTTCCACTAAACTAGTTCAATAGGAGCAACAAGTCCACAGATGCGCGGCGTAACTTTGCAAGTTTTCACTTACTGAGACTGAAGTGAGTCTTCAACCAGGCATTATCTACATTCTCCTTTTAAATAGTATTAAGTCAAGAAAAGCCCTTTCTCATTACAAACTAAAAAGCTACACAGAATATAAATTGTCTGAAATTAGCATATTGGACCAATTCCATTTTGTCAGCCTTCACAGTATACAATGAGTAATGCAAGCTGCTAAGTAAAGGCCAAAGAAAGGGTATTAGTCAAGTGAAAGAAGAATTAGATATGGTTGATTTGTAAACAGGAGATCTGACTTGCAAAATGCTGTGTCTACAGATTTGGTAGGAAGAGGTAAAACTCAAAGCTATAAGCACAGCACCAGGATGCAGCTGAAAGCACTCTTATGGAAATGGCATACACTCGGATCTTATTTCTGAGAAAATAAAAAACCAAGAAAAAGTAACTGCTGAGGTTCACTGTCATAAAAACCATAACCTTTGAAATATTTTTGTATCAAGTCACAATGCAAAAATACTCCAAGAAAACCACACCTGGGAAAAGAAGCCTTTACAGGCCATTGCAAATGTTTCAGTTCTACTGAGAAGGAAATTTGTAACTGACCCAAACCAATGCTCTCTAATGTTCATTCAATGGAGTCTTTCAAAATAGTTTTCTTTCTAATTTGAAATTAAAACAAATGCAGAGGATTGTCCTGGCAAAAGTTAGAGACATTTTCTTACCTCTTTATTTGTAAATAAATCAGATAGTGCTTTTAATTCAACATCAGAAAAACAGGACCAGATGACAAATGCTCAAGTTTGCATTGTGTCAAACTAGATACCTTCACTAATGTCATGCTTTATATGCCAATGCTTTAAGCCAATCTTTGGTAGCAGGGATATCAGAGAAACAGGTGCTTTACACTGTAAAAACTGTAGTTAGTTGAAAAGGGTTATGAGCTTTTCCAGTCCTCAAATGTGTTTCTTTTAAAGTTAATTTTGAATATACTACTGGCTCCTGGAATGAACATTAGGAAGTAAACAATTAGGAAAAAAAGAAAAATAGGAAGTTAACAAAATGAAAAATCAAGGGGCAGGGACTGCAAAAAAGGAATTCTCACTCACACATCTGATGCATGGCTGCATGTTAGTCAACTAGCAATCACTTACCAACTTTGGTACAACAAAGGTTTGTTGAAGAGAACATACTTTACAGGGTAACAGAATTTAATCATTTTCATCTCTAAATATTTAAACAGGATTCAACTCAATCCCTCACCATTGTCTTTCCATCCCAACTTCCCCTGCACCCTGCTTAAGCACATCAGCAAGAGTACTTACAACAGCAACAGGGTCATTGCTTCGGGTGGCCGCAAGGCTGAAATTCTTCACATGCGTGTTGGTTTCTAAGGCTTTTGCAAATTCTTTCAGTGTTGGAATTGGTATGTTCTTGAATTAAAAATAGCATTTCACTCTCTTGAGATATGCAAGTTTATCCCCTCCCCCCAACTTCTTCCATTATCTTATTCTCTTTATGGCAAAATGTACTATATTAACTATCACTGTTCTCCAGCAGTCTCACAGTAAAGGCTACACATGCAGCAAAGCTGTATTTAAGATACAACGGCTATTAGAGTCTCAATTCTATAAAGCAAAGTCATCTTTACTACATTGACACAATTGCAGTAATATAAGTGTTAAAAATTATTTAGCTGACTTGGAACTGTTACTGAGCAAAATATACATGAATGAACATTCTGCCACCTGCATCAAATTAACCTCTCACAAATATAAAAGCATTTAGAGCTTTGGACTGGTGAAACCATTAGCATTTCATTCTCCGTGTTATTTTAAGTATAATTCCAGAATTTGCCAATGCATAGCTTGATAAGCTTTTACAGTGAGTGTAGTAGTAACCAAGCTTGAAAGGAGTAATTTTAGATAATTAGGGTAGCAAATTTCTCAGTTTATTGTATCAGAAATTTTGTTCTATTGCCTTTTTAGGCATTTATTTTGGCTAGCATGTCTCTATTGTACAATATTCTTAAACACATTTTACTTTCTTCCTTTAGTAAGGGCAACAAATATGCCAGGCTGGTAGTGAGGCTGCAGATACCAGTCTGTCACTGCTGTCTGCACTGTAAGTCAAGAGTGTTACAGCTTTGTTTTCTTTCACACAGATGTGCAAAAGTTTTAGCCATGTTTAAAACACAACTGTTACACTTACGAGCAGAAGCTGCCCTAATTGCCAACAGCTCTTTTATAAAAGAATTGTAAGAATGTCAGGTACAAACATCACGTTGTCTGCAACAGTAGTAACTGAGAGCACATTGCTTCATCAAGGATAAAGGATTCAAAGAAGTTAACTCCATGATGGTGAACTGCTGGAACCGTTGCCAACTTGGCAGCAACAGAAATCTGGGCAGTGAGAAAATCTAAGACTTTAAATACACATTTGGCAAAAGAAACCAAGATGGCTTATCGGTTTAGCTCTGGGTTTCTGAGATTACACAAACACTACAACACTTAGCAGAAAGGCTGCTTTACTTAGTACAAACCTGACATGCTCTCTTACGAGTTTTAAGCTGCAAAACTCTCATGCAGAGTTTTGCAATTTGAAGTATCTTCTACTGAGCAAAAGCAGCATATTTACTGCAGGCTTCAGGTAATTACCTTGATGTTATTTAGATTAACTTCAACAAGACGAGAATCATTATCTTTAATCCTTTGCAGAGTTTCCTCTACATTTGTGGGATTTGGTGGCTCATCAAAAACAGGCAACATTTTTTCACCTTTTACTATATCTGAAAAGTAAAGCATTTAATTGTAATCAAACAGGTCACATCCTTCGCTGTGAATAAATGATACACATACTAAATATTTTCTGTTTTTAAAGATCATTGATCTTTACATCTCTCCCCCACCCAAATAGCATACCATCCTCTCCTGACTATATTTTCATAAAGTTCTACTCTTTTCCAAAGGCTCTCACAGCCTTCCTGCTTTCCTTCCACACCAGAAAGCATATAGGAGTTGCATTACAAACACAAACATGAAACCTAAGACCCAACAGACACAAATACATGTTTTTGCCTACTTTTATCCCCCAAAAGTGACACAAAATTAGAATAAATTGCAATACACATTTTAATTCCACTTTTGCCAGAATTCAATTGGCAATATTTTAGACATGCACATTTCCAGCTCAAGACTAAAGAGTGCTAGTGCAACAGAAAATAGTTAATACTATAGTAACTGTGTGTAGTACAAAGAACTCATTTATCTAGCACTTGTGTACACACTTACTTGAGAAGCTGTCTTTGTCAACCCCATTACTGCTTCCTACTACATCACAGAACTGATTGTTTGTTATCAAGTTGGACATTCCCAGTATAGCTGTAAAAGGATAAAAAGAAAAAGCAAATAAAACAATTTTACTGTTTCTGATTAATTCAGCTCAGGTTCAGAGTTCCTTTAATAACAACTGGTGCTTGTAAAACACCCCGTTATCAGAACAATAAGCTATTCAATCGCTTAATCATTTAAAGAAAAGTAGAAAAAAATAATTAATTGCAGACTTTTAAGCGGTCTTTCACATCTTAGATTTGACCTCAGCAAGTTCAAGCATCAAGCTTAAAAGTGCAGCTCAGTGACAAAATTACTGACATAAGCTTTAAGAATAGAGGTACATAGTAGCACATTCTGCATACAAAAAAAAGTAGTACCATACACAAGAAACCCCAGCCAGTCTGAAGAATGAGCTTAGAGGGGTTGAGTTTGAAAACCAGGCATCTTTTGCAGGCCAAAATAATCTCCTTTCCTGTAAGTTATCACAAAGTAACAAAGTTGACACACTACAAGCAAGCTGACTATAACATGATCTAGTTTCTATCACAAACACAACTTCCTCTAGTCACATTTCAAAGAACAAATACACAAACACATTAATTATAGATCTTTCTTGTCTAAATACACACCAGCCCATTCGTATTTCAAATACAACTAACCTGCAAGGTCACCTAATTCTGTGTCTGTGGCACTGGTCAAGGCTTCCTCCAGTTCTGGATCAAGAGTGAATTTTTCTTCTGCGTAAGACTGTACAGGCTTTTGCTTGGGGATAAATATTTTCCCTGGAATAAAGAAAATGAAAAGTCTGACGTTATTTCATATTATATTGCAACTTATCTTTATTCTTTTCTGTATTTATGGAATATGTATTACGTAAATCTTGAGAAGAGCACCACACCAAGGACAACATAAAGAAATGAGGTTTCTTCTTCAAAAGTCGGATACGGGGAAAGAACACGAACAGGAATATGACGTCTGTATCATGACTCCAATCATTCGTTTCTTGCCTAAGGATTAGAAATATATAAATATAAGCCTCCTTTACACATTTCAAAGAGCCTAGGTAAAGTGCCTATAAGGAAAATTTAGTATCGCTAGAGAATGAGGACCACTTTCCTCTCAAGGGTGAAAGGGACCCAGGCAGAACTGTAATCTGAATGTGTCAGAGAGAACATAGCAAAGTATCATCTGAAATCATGGACCTGAGTATTCACTGCAGTTTTACAGCGTAAATGGTATTTCTGATTTCAGACGTTAACTCAATTTTTAAGTAGAAAAGGGAGATGCCCGAGCTGCTTGAGAAAACCACGGTCAGTGAACAGCACAAAAGGGGACAACAGATTACTCTGCCAATGACACTATTTTCTAAAATGATAGTTAGAACGGTCACAGAAGATTCAATGGAAAAAGGAGCAGTGGTAATACCACATTCTGCACAAACTTTGTAGTCATTAAGGACAGGTAATGGGAAGAGCTATTCTAGGAGGCATGCTAACTACGTAGACCTCCGTTTAGAATGCCTAAATCCTGCATATATCTTCAGCTGAAAAGTTAGGGTAAGAAATCAGAATATGAGAAAACTAACAGTTATTCGGAATCAGTTCAGATTAGAATGATTTAGAATTGACCTTTCAGAACTAAGAAGTCTGCCACTGGTTAAGAACCCAGGAGAGGTAAGGGGTGCTGCGGTTCAGGACAAATTAACATGACACTGTACTGTATGAGACAATAAAAGTGATGCATTTGATGCAAGTATTTCACATCTAGAAAACTGTGACTCTCATCTTAACAGTTACTCAAAGTTTTTCAAACTTCCCAAGTTGCCCGAGCTATCAGCAGACAGAGCTGTGGGAAAGGAGCTCCAACTGCCTTTCCTGGGTTAGGAAGTGGTGTTGATAATCTTCCTGTGAAGTCTCAGTGCTAATCCAGGTACCCACCCTCTTCCATATCTATAGCTATAAAACATTTCTGCACATGAATCACACTAAGCTCATCCCAATTACATGATGAAAACCCACCATGCACCAGAATCAGCTGGCCAGACGCCTAAGACATTTTTAACTTGAACTGCATACAAGCATATCTTGTTACATGTTTGTACTAAGACTAAGTTTAGCATTTTTAAATACCTCCCAGTGACAAGAAGCTTTATAGGGATATTTCAGTTTTATTTCTGGGAAATTCCAACAAAGCAGGATTTTGGATTCACCACTTGTGGAAAGCAATGCCTGAAGTCAGCTCCTGGGTCCCACAGCAGGACACAAAACCCGTAAAAGCATAACAAAACCCATCCACCTTTTCTCTCTCTCTAAATCCCTATCCTAGATTACAATAGTATGTAGTTCATTTTCTTTTTATAGGAACTTAATGCATGACCACTAGCACAGATTACAAAGAAGCATATCAGGTTTTGCCCTGACAACACAGTCTGATGACAAAGGTCTGTTGCTAGCAACACAGTATTTTTGTTCCTGGGTTGCTATTTCTTTGCAAAGTTGTATAAATGGTCGTTATCCATAGTCAGAAGCAGAAAATAAATCTCCTTACATAACTGTATTGACTACAAACAGCAGCTGAAAGCAGCTGACATGCATTACCACCCACACCTCAGGACAGTGCAGAAGTAACTATGGTTGTGGTGATTCTGGAAGAATAAATGATTTATGAAGAAAACCTTCATAAATTGAAGGCTCCAGCAGCAAATGTTGAAGATTATTTTGATATAATTGGTATAATGCATTTCTACTCCCATTGTACCACTACCACCCACTGGGGAGAGAATAAACTTGTAATTTTCAGAAGAGAAGAGAATGTTTGATGAGGTTTTCATTAACCTCTGAAAAGTGTATACATGATCTAAAGCCTTTCATTAGCTATGTGTTGTTTTCCCTCAGTAATACAGGCCAGTAAAAAAGTGAGGATCTCAGAGTACAAGGAGGGAGGAGGGAAGTGTGATGCGAGCACCTGAGCCTTCATTCATGTCATCCTTTATCAGCAGGCTGCGAGTGAGAGAAGGAAACTCATCTCAGTTAAAAGCAACTTCATGAAAATTCTGCCTGGTTCACCACACAGTACTCACAAAAAACTGCTTTTCCTGGTGTTACTGTAATTCTTCAATACACAGGTTAGGAACTTCTGGTTCTAAACATTTCCTTCATAAGACAGAATTTAGCCATACATGCCTGACTCTTAAGGTAACCTAAAGAGCCACAAGTATACCCGGTTTTTATTAAAGCAAAAATGTTAAAAGCCACTCTCCTCCAGAAATGTTCATTGCAGCCAACTGCAGTCACATGAACTGGGTCAGGAGCAGTTTTTGTTACAAAACAGGTCACACCCTTGTGTATATAATGTCTCATTCACTGGCTTCACCTCATCCTTGCCCAGAGTTCAGAGGTTTACCATGCACATACGAAAGTAAGTCCTTCCTCACTCCCCACGTCTAGTAACATACCTCAGAAACAGGTAAGACCCCTGTGCCTCTGGGGACAATGATCTAACTCAAGGCCTGCTGCCAAGACAGTTTAGCAATTCCCTTCCCTTATGTAAGCTTTAAAAAACCCCACAGACTACACATCTGTGCAGCCCATGAGCTGAATAGCTTTCCTGGCCCTCGAGTGGAACATTTCCAAATAGCAGGGATTTGACCACATAAAGGAACAAGACATCCTCCTTTTCAGCCAACAAGGATACTGCAAAGGTTAAGCCATACAACAAAAAAAGAGGCAGATTTCAGAGTTGTTCACATATTTTTGGTAGTAACTATATATTCAGGTCTTCTAAGCCTTTGCCTAAGGAGTTAAATGATACACACATCCCAGGATTAATTCACAGGCTTTTTTTGCTACAGAATGAACTTCCCAGTTCCACAAAATCACATTGTTGAAAAGGCAAAACCATTGGATGATGTCTGTTGAAGTGCCCATGACATTTCATGCACAGACTCACAGTATCTAAGGTGGGACTAAAAGCCTTGCAGAAACCACATCTGCTCAGTGATGCCATTCACTGCATAGAGCTGGTGCTGTTCTCACATACCCCACAGTCCTACCCTCAAGCTATTAGGCAGCAAGTGACCTCAACTTGCAGATCAGAAGAATGTCCAAAATCCACTTTGCAGTACTCTGTTTGCAGAAAAAGCATCAAGTGTCACCTGAGGACAACTGAATACAAGCTTGTCTCATCAGTGACTTCATGAAGAGCGAGCAACATCTGGTAACTCCTTACATCTTATGTTCCTTAAAGTTTCATCAATCCAGAAACTGATATAATCTGCAATTCACCAATCACCGACTCCTACCATGTGACAGACTTGGGTTCATCAATTCACTTCTAAGCACAATTTAATAGTATTTTTTTTAATCCACTTACAAGTGACTTCCTCGGGGTCTTACTGTAGAAACTGCACTGTTACTCATTATCTGATTACAGAGCACATAGCAGTGAGTTAGAAAACTATTTTACATTAAGGCTACAGTATCCCATGTTATTTTGTTCTAGTGGTCTTCTATGGAGAATGTCAATTCACCAAGTTGTTTCTCCAGAGCTCCTACAGAATATTAGCTTCCTTTTAAACATGTAACACACTTCCTTTGAAGACCAATGATAGAAAGGCAAACAGAACACAGCATCACAAATCCTACTGCAACAGAAGCAAACGGTGATCTAGAGCAACAACTGATCAGGGCAGCAACAAAAGAGCTCTAGCCAGGTGACTACAGTTTCAGCCTAACAATACTTACTGGGTGACAGCGCAGAGAAAACCCCCAAAACAAAACACCAAAACAAAAACATTAAAGAGGAAGTTACATGAAATGCAAATCTACACAGACAAACATACTCCAGCAGGACTGCAGAGGGAGAGCTGGAAGAGAAAGCCACAATTAGGAGAGTGCAAAGGCTAGAAACGCAAAGCATTAATGCCTTGCACTGGCAGCACAAAGTACATTACTGATGTCAGATACAGTTTTATCTCAGGTGCACTATCATCTTTTGTTCTTCCAAGAGAAGTGATGAGTATTGGTCAGACTTAGATGTGTGGAACACACTGGAGGGCAAGAGCCTTCAGCACTGAAGCCTCATTTCACTGTTTAGATGACAGATCCTTCTCCTTGCACTGTGCCTCGTAAAATCTTTATGACATACTTACGTACACAGATTGAGACAAAGCTAGTTTTGTTGAAATTATTACCACATTGCTCTCATGAATCTCTGGAACAATGCTTTACTGTATGGTTCAGCACTTAATTAGAACAGAATGTGACTTAAGTCCTTAAACCGTGTTTAAAAACAAAGCATGTTTTTAAGAATGCTTTTAGGAACAAAATCAAGCAGTGGAAAAATGCAACAGAAGATAATTTAGGGATTGTTAAACTTTACATTTCTTTAGCACTGTTCATATCACTGTTATCAGGAAACTTTATTTCACATATACATTTCATAGCACACAGCAAAAAGAGCTCCAAAGACTTGAAGAAAATCACATCATCTATCAGGGAAAGATGATGCAACATTGGTTTAATAAAATGTTACCCCAAAATGAGGTACTTAGGACAACTGGAAGAGAAGATTTTCCTTTACACTGTAGTAGGGAAATAAGATTACCAGAATCATTAGCAAGCCAGGTTGTTTAAAATTAACCCAGGGTAAGCTGCTTTGGTAAGCCTGCAGGCCAAATTGCCACATGGAACATTCTACTAGAATCAGAAAAGGAAAGAGATTTTCCCCTTCTTGCTCCATAAAATAATTAGACAAAGTTAGAGCAATGACATCACCTAGGCACACACAAGTATTTTAGCAAAGCCCGACCAACAAAAATGGCACCAAGAAAACAGCTGCAACTCTAATCCATCTCTCTTTCTCCTCAAAACTTATAAATCTGAAGGTTACAGTTGTCAGTTTTCTTTCATATTTTTAGTTTTAATGAAAGTAAGAATTTTATTTTTCATATAATTTTCCCTTCTTTTATGGTACTGAAATGTTATGGTAGAAAATGTTATTAAATAGCAAGGGTTTTTTTAAAAGATATGGGAAGTTTTGCTAACTGAACTGGTATGACATATTGCAACATAAAGGCAGACTGCTATTTACTATATTACATAAAGGAAATGACATTTGATCTTTCTTAACCAAGATCTGCATTACAGCTGGACCCTTCTGTTTTTCTCCATGATTCACACACATTTTATCTCCCCAAACAAATAGTTTTCCATGGGCATGTATACATAAGATGACTTTAAAGAACCACCCATCTGAATGAAGCACTAGCACTCACTAGAAAACCAAGTACTAACTAGAGCAAATCCTCCATGCCCAGCCTCACAGCCTGAAGAAGCATTTAATTCACTACATTCAATATACTGCATTATCCTAAACTCAGTTACTCTTAGAGATCCAAGCAGCAAACTCCCTTTCTCCTGTAAGCAAAGAAGTGTCACAGTTACCTTCCAATGAAAGCAGTGTAAACTACACAAATAAGGCAAAACACAGTGTCTTGAGGAAGCAGTACATCACATACAACACAGCACAATCAAGTCACAATTTCTCTTCCAAAGGAAAGGAAAAGAGAGACCAACATTGTCAAGTAACAGCTATCTGGTACAGGGAAGAGAAAATACAAATACCCCAAGCAAAATTTTGCATGGGATCTACACCACCATCACAATCATGTATACAAACTCAGCAGATGAATGCTCTAGTCTAAAATAAGCAGCGATTCACAGCAGAGAATTAAGTAAAGGGTTTCAAACCCTTCAGAAGAGATGAGCCTGTTCATCTCAGGCAGCTGGAATGCAACTTACCAAACCATTTACTGAAGTCTTACTGCAGCAGATCTGCCCTGCTGCTGGGGAAGGTTCAGACAAGCTAGGGTTCACAAGCAGTACACAAACACTGAGGTAAGAGTTAAAAGCCTCATTCTATGCCTATGTGCCCAGGACTGGGAGTTTCTGTCCCTACCAGTAGTGCCTTAGTAAGTCACAACAAACTTGGGAACTCTTGCTTTGGGGGGGGAATAAATAAATCTATTCTTACATATTTAAGATTCACATTCTTTAATTTTCTCCAGAAAAGGGAAACACTTCACATCCAAGTCAGCAAGATGACTAGATCCAAAACAAAGATTTAAAATCCCAGGCTTTAATAATGGGTCCGCTCATTGGGAAAATGTTTCCATGGTTTTTTCACCACAAACCACTGCCAGATTTCAAAGCTGCTTGCGATGTTAACTATGTAATTAGTTAATAATAACTATGCAATCTTATTAGACCTGTCAGTAAGGATACTAGAAAAACAACATGATTGCATACACCACTTGCCTGGCCTTGTCAGCCTACAATGTCTTTGAACATTATCATCTACCACGACATCTTTCTACTGCTATTTCTTCAATGTATCACAAAAGTTACTGTTGTACCCAGCTCCACAGGGCATCAACCACAGGCACAACAGCAGCATTTGTTATTACTGATATAAATCAGGGGTAGCTCTTACTTTGAGGATACCACCCCCATCAGAACTTTGTCATCTGATAAAATCTTTGAGTCTTGTCTCCTTCCTGTGCTGGATACAAACAGCACAGCAGCCCCAGCGTCACAAATGCCTGAACAGGAAGCATCCCGCCTCTGCACAGCAGCACTCGTTCGGAAACGCCACCAGTTAAAAAGCATGAGAGCTGCCAGTGCTTCGATAAACTCTGGTTCACAGCAATTCTGGCTAGTCCACTTCAGAGATTTCATAACCACCTACACCAACCGGAAAGGGTGGCGTTACCTTTCTTTTCTCTTGTAAAAGGCACATAGTCTTCCCTGTCTTTGTGCTCAAGAGCCTGCTTCTCTAAGTACGCCAGGAGCCGTTCCCTGTCGAAGGGACCCGAAGCCTTTTTAGCAGTCTGGTCTTTCTGTCGGAAGCCTGCAGGCAGCAGTGCATTCTGCAAAACAAAATGGAGCATACAAAGTACAGCTTAGGAAGTCTGAGTGAACACCTGCTTACTTTCATTTCCCTCTTCCTTCTCCCTCTCCTCAAGGTTCAGACGCAGTGCATCATCCTTTTTAGTCAATCTTTGATCCCTTGCCCACTTCCTTTTTTTGGGGAAGGGGAAGGACACAAGATAATCTGTTCTTTATATACCAAGAATATATTTAAAAATAGAGCACTCTGCACTCTGAAGAGGACTGAAAAAATACTTTAAGTACAATAGCTCCCAGCACTAGAGTTACTAGGTAATTTGCATTTATTTTCTAGAATGAATACTGTTTAAATGAGAAGTAGTAAATAAAACTCAGCTATTTACAGCTTAGACATTCAGCAAGAGACTGCTTCCTCCATCACTTACATCCATGTGTTTCTGAGTCTTCAAAACAACTGCCTATACTGTTGTATGGCATTTAACACAGGGTATTTCTACTTTTGATGTGATTCAAGGTGGGGTGGGGGTTTTTTTTGCCATCATCAACATATTTCAGCTAAAAAAAAAAAAAACCTAAACAAAAACAAAAAAAAAAAACAAGCAACAACAACAACAAAAAAAAAAAGGAGGATATTAGTATGGAAAGAACATGGTATTTTGAAAATCAGACTGTCGTAAAGGACAACCAATCACTTTTGCCAGTTCTCCTCCGTTAAAATGTCTAGAAACCCAAAGCCAATTAAAATATCAAGAATATTTTGCAGTGCAACAAAACAGGTGATCATAATACTCTTAAATGACACCCAAGCATCCAGATTAAACTTAATCTTGGCACTATTAAAGCAAGAACAGACAATTAGGAGGTGAAAACACATCTTGGACTCTGACATTAGCTGAGTATCAGTAGAAGACATAGCTCATTATAACAGAAGGCTAAAATGTTCCTTATTCAACACCCCAACCTGGTATCATAATTCAGGAGCTGAGCTATTATTTGCCTCCTCTTTGTAAAGTCTGCATGAGGATAGGAATAGATTGAGGCTATCAGATACAGGACCAGAATCTTTGGAAGAGGTCAGCACTCTCCCTTTCCCATCAAACTCCAACGGTGGAAGCAACAAAACAAAAATGGATGCAGAAGGGCTATTTACCAGACAACACTGGAAACAGGGAAGTTAAACAGGTCTTTCTCAATAAACCTTCTTTTCAAGAACACAACTCAAAGCAATTTTTATTATAAATACGTCCCAGAAAGCTCCTCCTGACAATTCCTTCTTCCATTTTTTTCTACTGCAGTTGCATTCACATTGCAAACAGGAAATAAACAGTTGAAACATTACATACACAAATATATCTGTAAATAAGATCATGAGCAGACTAGGAAAAAACTGTTCAAAAGTATAGTGTACAAGTAAAAAAAGTCTCAACTTATTTCAGACTAGTTTCTAAACAAATGAGAAAATAAAAGTTCTCTTGGCTAATACCTACCTCAGGGTCAAGATCATCCAAAACAGTTTCCAATTGTTTCAATTCTTCTTCTGAAAGTTTGCCAAGAATTTCATCCTCATCCAGATCTTTGTACTTGTCCAAGTCCTTTCGAAATGGGAGCGTCATGACTCGAGCAGTAGCAAGTTGCTCAAACACTTCAAAACTCAAGTCTTATTCTCCACCAGATCTATAAAAGAAGAAAAGTTTTTTAAAGAAGTAACAATAGTTAAGGGAAATATCCCAAGTACAAAGCACCTCCAACCTCCAAATACATCTCTGAAAGGAAAGCTTTTTCATCCAGTATTCGTATCTACCTGTTACTCTACAACAAACAAAGAGCACTTGGAAGCTGTCTACACCTTGCCACTTCGCTGACAAGAATCCCGTCCTGCCATGCCCTTTTCCACCAGTAGCTAAGCTAATATATATGTTCAGATGAACGCCAGACCCAGTTTTCTCAATGAGAACACCAAGGCCATAATTCCCACAGAGCTGGGCAGGCTGCAGGGCAGGCTGGAATAAATGCCAACTACACCTAGTATTTATGAGTCCAGCTTAATACCACTGTTCTTTTACAGATATCGCAGTCAGAAGGAGAGCTAAGATGCTTTACATTTATTGTTGCTGCTGCTGAGAGCAGTAAAGGAGAACTTCACTACAGGCAAGCTAATTGTTTATTACTGACTCATATCCCTGTGTATCACCTACAGAGGGAACAAAGAAAGTTTGTCTCCAAGTTAATTATAGCACTGCCATTGAAATAACATTGTTTTGTTCAAGGAAAATTAAAACATCTTGATGAAAGGCTTATGGAATACAGCTGCTAAGTAGCAGCACTCCAGGCAGCCCTACAATCCCCCCAAAAATTAAAAATACAGAACAGACTGCTAACTGCTCACTAAATATTATACTTAGAGGAAACTGGGGTCCTTCAGAAGATGTGCAGCCTATATAGTACTTCTCACAGACAGGGAGAGCACAGGGAACCTTTTTTCTAACAGTCACAGTTGTTAAGCATTTGGCTTGTAAAAAACAAAGAGCTGATCACAGCAGTGCTGAAGCTGACAAGTTGGTTTCTCTCATTTTTCTGTAAGAAATTCTGGGATTCTCCTTTTGTTCTGCCAGGTTCTTGCTTCAAGTTGAGCACATGCACAAAAACGGTACCTTGAATGACTCTTTGTAAGCAACCAAGAGTGTCCACAATGTATTTGAGGAGCAAAAGCTAGATCCATACGTTCAGGCATATTAGCCTCCCTAACAACCTGTAGAAATACTCAACACAGATCAGACATGCAGCAAACATTATTTGCTCTCCAATGGCCCACATTCCAGTTTAGATGCTCACACCATGTGTACTAACTGCGTTAGTTCAAACCTGCACTTACACTGTACGTCAAAACCAGATCAATTTAAAGTTATTGCCTCTTAAGTAAAAGAAGGGCCGTATATACATACTACACCATGGAATCCTGCTTACAGGATTCCTTCACCTCAGTTGTTTATATCAAGAAAGGTTTCCGTGGCACTTACAGTCACATACAGTGATATTTTAGTTTAGAGACACTGAACAGACATGCGCACATAAAGGCGCATCCACACCATTCGGTCAAGTTTACCTGTAAAGTAAATCTGGCTTTAACAATTGCTTTTGCAAGAACAGTAAATTTTCAGTTCCTACCAACCTCTACAGCAGAATGAGGAATAGATTTACAGCTATTTTCAGGATGTCTGCTTTAAAACAGTATTACTAATATTAACACTAGATCTTACTTGTAAACCACAGTTGACATTGATAGGACTTAATCCCAAAACTGAACAACCAACTTCAGTAAAGTTCCCTCAAGCATACTGAAAACCAGGAGGAATCCTCAATTTCATGGTATATTATGTCAAAAGAACAGTGTCTGGCCTCCTCTGAACTACAACCAATGTTGAAGGAGCTTGGACCTTTTACAAGAGGCCACAGAGCTGAAAACATCAGAGTTTAATGGCTGCAGAAAATGCAGAGGGTAGAGCACCTATGTTTTTCAAACCCATGTTCCAGAAGTAACTAAAGGAGTGTCTCTATGGTCTGGCATGCCTCCTACAGCTTTCATAGTCTCCTGGTATTGCTCCTCCAGGTGCATAACAGCTGAAGGACAATTAGCTGATAGCTGCAGCAGATGCCACACAATCTACATGCACATTTCTCATTCCAAGAGCCTTAATGTTTTGCCCTTCCTTACAGTTCAAGCCGTTACACACTATCATAAGAGGAAAACATTTCCTGCAGCCAATTACACAGCATTGTTTGTGACCAGGCTGCACCATCTGAATCCTACATCAAGACGCTGCTATTTACCACATTTCTGCATGTCCATTTGCATTCAAATATTAAAAGGTGCAGTTTTAACAGGTAATTATAAGGAACAGAAGAGAGCATACTGCAGAATAATGCTCCCCTTACTCTGAAGGAGAGCAGCACTGCATAACCATACATTACATTTATGTAGGCTGTATTTACTCTCTATGAATTGCTGTAAAATATTGTCACCCAAAATTAATTACCTTTTATTTAATGCATCAGTATGTTTTACATTGGAAAACTACTCATCCTCTATAATACATCAATTAACATTCAGGTCATAACCCTTAGTCTCACTTGTGTCTATAATGTGATCAAAGTAGCCATTTCAAATCCTGAGCTAGAGTGCTCAGACACACACATAAGAGTGAAAAATGGAGCAGCAGAGAAAAAAAAAAAAACCAGCCCTATTTCTGTAACTGAGCCTTCACTTCAGCAAGAGGAAGAGAATCACATGTGGCCTGGCACATTTAAAAAGTTTTGGCCATATTTTCTAATACCTATCAATCAAAAGTATTTTTTAAAACACGAAAGCATTCTTAATGTGAGACACCTTTAAGAAGTTATGCTGGTGGCACTGATTAGCATGGCTGTACTACAGGATTCCTTGGTAATGACTTTGAGAAGCATTCCCTACAGCAGAAACAACAGCACACATGACACTAGAGAACATGCTAAAAATCAGGTTTTAAAACATGGTGTCAGGAATTCTCACTGCCTAAAAAGGGCATAAAGGCCAGCTGAAGCCCTAATCTAATCAAAAGAGCCCCTTCACATCCCATTAAACACATTTGGTACTCTGCTTTCCAAACCTCACTGTAGCACTACAGCAAAGATACATGCATAGCAAAGTACAAGATTTTAGAAGCAGCACTTATTTAGGCTGTGAATGTTTGTGGCCCATCTCACTGCAAAATCACACGCAAAACAGTAACCATCAATTTCGGCTTTGCAAATACACTTTCTTGATGAGCAGGGCTAGTTTTCTTTCGAGTATCTTTCTTAGCTTTACCATGAAAACATTCTATATGTTACAAGTCCAAAGGGCTAGTGTTTGTTTTTCAGATATATAAACTACAAAGTACTTCACTCTAGCAACTTCATAGTTGCAACAGAAACATACAGGGAAATGGAAACAAAGCCATCGCTTCCAATCAATCAAATTTCAATTCTCTATTTGCTAGGCAGAAGTGGAACAATCAGAAATGAAGATATTCTGCTGGACATCAGAGACACATAAATCTTGCCATTATTCCTTCACCTGAGGAATCCATGGACAACTGAAGAAATCAGAAGACAGCAGTAACTTTAGGGCATTTCATAATTACCTGAATCATATCCTGAAAGACTGTCAAGCAACTTTGACATACCTCTTCCCTACAAGTTAAAGTACTTGTTTTGTCCTGTGTGAAAAAGTATTTTTAAAACCCAAGATTCTAGAAGATAGCTAGCTTCCAATGTTCTTGCAAAGATTCACCCACCTCCCCCCTAATTTCTATTATATTTAATAACACAAGTTCTTGGGACTCTTTAGCAGGAGTAACCCTTTAGAAATATCCTACCCACAGGAAACTACAGTCTTCTTAAAGTCCACCACGAATGGTTTCCATAACTTGGATTTTAAAACAGAAGCAACATCATGAAAAACAAACCGAGCTGGTTCAGGTCAGCACGTTTGCAGGGGCCACTTTAATCAAATTTGTTCCTTCAGAGCCTCCTTCCACCCAACCTCTGGGTGAACCTGACCCGGAGCAGGGGGTCCACAGGGCTGCCGCATTCCTGCACCAGTCCGGGTCCAGACCATCCCAGCTGCTTGCAGGAGCCTGGTCAGATCATTTCCCCAGGGAACCCTGATGATGGCAACAATTTTATATCCCAGTGTGTGAGAGCTGTTTATGAAGAATGTGCTGCAGTTGAAGGAGCTGTCTTTATTTACCAAAGCTAGGAGAAAAATGAGGAAATACAAATATTACCGTAATCCCAGCAGGTTCCTTGGCATGTTTCTGTAATGCCCTATGGTAACTCTGCTGAACAGCACGATGCTGCTTTTCTTAGCAGAGGGCTCTCAAAAACCCAGCTGCGCCCCTCCAATTCTCCAGCCTGGGGCAGGGCACAGGAACCAGGTTCTCCTGCACAAGGATCCCCTAGGCATCCCCTAGCCCACAGCCTTACAGAGCCAGCAGGTGGCAGCTCATCTTTGCTTACACTTTTTGTTAGGATAAACTGTGTTTTCTGAGCAGCAAGGGATAGCTATTCTGGGCTATTTTCCTACAAAAGCAAGCCCGAGGCTTCTCTCCGTTCAAAGAATCAATTCACTAAGTTTTATACATGACAAAGTGAGCTTCCCCAACTTCATATTTGTCCATACGGTGACCTGGGGAATGGAGGGGGACAGACAGCTGCTGCAGAGAAATTAAAGGACCATGAAGATTCTTCCATGACGAAGGAAATCTGAAAACAGCTGTACTTCCAGTTCCTGACAGCTCCTCCTCTGCATCAGAGCACACCGGGAACCAGACAAAGCCCATTCTTTGACATGTCCTGTATACAGCTACACAGAGCTAGGACACAGCTATCTCGCAGGCAGGGTGCTCTGTGTGATGGCTAAGCTGCTAAGTTGGCATTGTCCCATAAAAACTTATTCCGCATGCCTGTTCCTCAAAACCAGTCATCACACTGCAGGGCCATATGGACATTCCCATCCAGCCCAGGCAACAGCAGAGGGGACAGAGCACACTTGGCAAGCTGCACGGGGCACGGAAGCAGCAGCCTTGGCAGCACGGGAGGCAGCATTCCAGCACACCCATCTCCACAACACTTCCAGGCACGCTCATCAAACTAGCT